GAGGTCGCGGCTGGGAATTCGAATAGGTTCGAACGCGTCGAGTTCGGTGGCGAGTCCGTCCGAGGGCTCGGTCCACGCTACTCGTTGCAGCACAGGATCATACACTATTACCCGAAGCGATATAGACAATATTGGGTACCTCGTCGGCGCCAGCGCTTGTACAATACACCGAGAAGCGCGATGAGAGCGATTACGGCGGCCGTAATCACCCACGTCGTGTTATCTATGCGTTCAAATTGAGCGATTTGAGTGTAGTTGTTCGACACTGACTCGTCGTCGGCGGCGCTTTGCCGTTGGGCGACCCCATGACACAGACCTTCCACGTGCTGCTGGCATCAACCGACCAGAGCGGCTTGAGCGCGGCATTTTCGATGGCATCACAGAAAGTACTACTGCGGACGACGCCGGAGATGGACGCGGTATCCAGCGTGGACGTGTTGGACGCGGTCGGCGTCAGGCGCCGCAGCGCCAAGTACGTTGTTTCGTCCATGATCCAGTCGGTCAGTGCGGTCGCCGTCGCACCGCTAATCTTGACTCTAAGCTCTTAGACGCATAAGAGCGTGACGCACACGTATTCGATGGCGTTGGTCAGTTGAACGTGCTTGATGGTCTGAAGCGCGCTGTTGCCGCCGAGCTCCCTAGTCGTCACGTCATATCGCAGTAGCAAAAGCAGAGTTTGTACAGGTAATTAAGAGCCGGCCACGTCATATCTTGAATCGACGTAAGGGCATTGGCGCGAAGATCCCTAGGTTGAAAACGACGTAGGCGCCTTTTTGCGAGGAAGCGGGATACAGATACGTCAATGGAACTGTCCGCAGCTTGGAGATGTCTTGAATGTGATTGCTACTTAGTCGTCTACGAACCATAGTCGTTAGTAGGTCGCTGTAGGCAAGCACGAATACAGCGTGCGAAGGCCCTGCGGCAGGTTCGGGGGCAACGCGCTCAGCTGGTTGTCAATGAGAGACCTGCCGGTCGAACGTAAAGACGGGATGCAAGCCATTCAAGGTGGTGTACAAAGTCTCGAGGTTGGTGGGCCACTTGATCTCTGCGGAGAGCGACCGCAGCTTGCACCGGTGCAGGGCTCTAGCTGCCAGTGAGCACTTCTCAATCATTACTGGCGTGTACATGGTGGGCCGGTTGAGCCGCGTGGTGCTACTCGAATGGCAGAATGATACAATGAACGGTATCAGAGGCATGCCACGTACGTGAATTTGGCTGGAAAGAGGAGCGTGCTGAGATCGAGGTACCCGCCAGCGCAGTCGACGCCTCTAGAAGCCACCACATTATGAAATGTCGAAGGGTGGTCGCACGAGCTACAGCGTAGCGTTGGGGTAGTTGGCGAGGTTGCCAACGGCGGCGAACGGGTAGAAGGACACGAGTGGCAACGTCATCCCGGTCAGGTCCTTGGTCAAGGTCGACAGCAGTGTTTTGCAGTCGGCGTTGAGGAGAACGCACTTTTTGTTGAGCAAGCAGACTGGCGACTTTGGTGGGCAGTTGTCGTCGGCCGCGAGGATGGCCGCGTCGTCGGCGATCGCCAGCGCATTATACGGGCAGCCAGTCATACGAAGTACCAGGGCGCACCGCTTCGCTTCCTTGTCCAGGACCTTGCCACCTTGCACAGGCTGTATTGACACCGATACGTAATCACAGTAAATTAGTGTATGTGTCACACTCCCCATATAGTCTTAAAACATGAAATCGTGTTATGATGAGGAGGAGGATTCTTGAATTAGTGTAATAAACACGTGTGTTTTCCACGTGAAAAAGGACAACGCGGTGGATCCAGCAATAATGTGGCAGTTGCCACCGGCTGCCACGATGCGCCAGCGCTTCCTGAGCTTCCTCGCGTCGACCGAGCCGGCGCCCAAGCCGCGCGGCAGCCATCTCCGGCCGCCGTCGGCGTCGCTTGCGGCGAGCGCGACCATGAGCCGCAACCAGGTCGTGATCAAGGCGACGCCGGTCGGGCCCGCCGAGGCCCACTACACACAGTACACGATCATCTGCTCGCAGCCGGGCTCGTACCAATGGTGGGTCGCGTTCCGGCGCTACTCGGAGTTTGTGACGTTCCGCAAGCAGTGCAGCAAAGCACTCAAGGGCGTCCAGAAGAGCGACCACGCGCAGGCGCTATCACCATTTACGGACTCGCTCGTCGCCCTAGGGCGCTGTCCGTTCCCGCCGAAGCACTTCATCGTTGACGACGCCGAGATCCTCGCCGAGCGAAAGGCCGGCTTGGCCATCTTTGTCGAGCACGTGCTCTCGAGCTACGACGACGCCCGACGGCTCGTGACGATGCTTGGCGTCGCCCAGAGAGGTCTCGTCGAGGCGTGGCTACGCCTGGCGACCGCCTTCCTGGTCGTGCCACCAGATGCACGCACGTCGCGCCGCCGCCACACGACACTCTGCGCCGCGGATGCTGTCTGCTCGATCTGCCTCGGGAGCATTGACGACAAGGGCGACGACGATAAGCGGAGCGCCGGCGCGGTCTTTGAGACCAAGTGCCACCACCATTACCACCGCAAGTGCATCTTGCCGTGGCTCGAGAAGACGCAGACGTGCCCCATGTGCCGCCACCGCGTCGTCTCCGGGCGCTGGTACTGACTTATCGATTTGTGAATGTTTTTTGTATTTATTCGGGGCGGGTGTCGCTGCACGTGGGGTGGTGGACGCTCGCCATGCACAGAGGTCGAGCTCGCTTCATCGACACGCCTCCTTGTCCTAGTCACGACACTGCGGAGTGCGATCATGGTGCACCAAATACCCTTGAAAAGCAAGAGGTTGCAATGGCACCAACAGAACAACACCTCGATGACGCCAAGGTCCTCCTTGGTGCAAAGCTGCAAGAGCAACAACAGACAACGTTGTCGTCCGCACCAAAGACGCCTCTGCCGCTCTAACGTCTGTGGGTCTCTTCTGCATCTGTCGAGAGATCTAGCCGAGGGATGCGGGGCGAAGGAGCAAAGACGATGATGGGCTTGTCCTTCCGTGGCTGTGCACGGGCGGCGAGAGACACGTGCGTACGTAGTTATCGATCGACACCTCGTCGTTCTTTCTCTTTTGGTCGACGACGCGCTTCGTGCCGACGACGTTTTTCTCGGCCCAGCTGCCTTGTCTAATTGTTCTCTGGCCGTGGAAATATTGTCTTGTTCCGTTATCGCAGCTGCCAGAATAACAAGAAAGGTAAGCCGAGGTGCTACGGAGTAGAAGGGCGATGCAAAGGCATATTGCCAGACAAGAACGAGACTAGAACTAGACTAGAAATGCCAGACACGGCGTTGTCGGTGGAGGTCCACGCAATGTTGGGAACCAGAACCAGACGACGTACGGTCGTATCAGAAGCCGAACGGAAAGGGCAATCTGGGAAATGGCGTTCTCGGGAAGATCGCGAACGTCAAAGGACCAGAAGAGCCTAAATCCTTGCCGGAACGAATCGATATCACAACGTTCAGCGGCACAGCACCATGCTACCAACGCATTGGTGGTGGCGTCACAATGGCGACAAGCGTGACGACCGGCAAAGCAGCAGCTCCATGGTTGCGGTGCCTCCTGCTGACCATTGCCGTCTCCAGGATACTTCGGACCATGCGGTCGGTCAGCAAATTTCGAATATCAGCGCGGCCGCTGGCTTTCTTCCATCGCATGTTTGGGAACTTCAAAATCAAAAGCGAATTTCTTTTCACCGATTTGCCACTTTGGCGCCCCTCTTTAGCGCCTTGAAGCCCACGCGTTGGTGCGCCTGCATTTCCCGTCGCATCACCACCTTGCACGTGCGGACCACGTCACGTAGCCATTTTTGTATGTGTTTATGTATCCAGATTCCAGCTTTGGTCACTCCTCACGGCGTCGTGTCAACACAAGTTGTGATAAAAACGATCCCAGATACCATAACATCACAGTGCCATTAAACCCTACAAGCTTTGGCGTCGAAGACACGCCCCCTCCGCCTGCCTCACCTGCGCCCGTTGCGAGCAAAGCGACGAACGACGCACCGCATTATCTACGCCTCGTTCAACCGCGACGACGTTGCCATTGATGACGTGGCCGAATACTAGGACCTTGGCTAGTATCCCTCCCCAACTTCAAGCGTGTGGTCGTTGTGCAAAAACCAAAGCTCCGAGGATGCATGTAACGTCAAACACTGCGGCCACCGATCTACCAGGTCGTGGCGCCGTTGACGAAGTCGGTCGATAACGCTACAAACAGCAGGAGTCGAGCGCAGCGTTCCGGCCAGACAAGGGGATCCAAAAAAGTGTGATTTATTCTGGACACACGTCTGGTGCATGTTGAAAATTAGCCCAGTCTGGACACCAAAATATTGATTGACGACCTCGTCGTACCACAACTGTGCGATAAGTACTGACTGGTATGTGGACACCCTCGCTAAAAACGCACTCCGTTTTACGTCTCTGTGACACACAAGTGGTCATTTCTATGTGGGAGCACCAACTCTGTGGCATCTTCTCTGATGCTTCAAGCTTTTCGTGATGGACCCCACTTCGTTGGGCGCCTCGAAGGAAAATGAAGCTGCCTGCAGGTGCACTCTGTCGGGTTTCATTGGCTTGCACGCCGCCACCCATACGTGCGATTCTTGAGGGAGTCGGTGCCAACTGCGCGGCGATAACGTCGCTGGCACTGCAGAGACAATCATCGAGTGTGCAAGGGGCTGCGATCACTTTGCACTGGTTTCAAGATGGTCAGCAAGCAATGCTCTGACGAACGACACGCTGCAAGTCGAGGCAAAAGGCCAGCAGCCGTCTGTCTCGCGCGTCCAGCGTGCACCTTCGACGAACGCGCGAGGTAGCGTCGTCGCGGCAAGGTTGAAGCTGGCTGTTTTTCTGGTCCTGTGCAACTGCGTTTCTTCAACGTGCAACTTCGAACCAATCGAAGTTCGAAGCCAATAAGCCCATCGTGATTGCCCAAGCCATTCTCACACTTGCCTCCAACCATGAAGCAACCGTCGCTCCTCTCGTCGCTCTTTGCGGGCCTCGACCAGCCCTTCCGCGCGCACCTCAAGGCGCCAACGTCAGCGTACGTTCACATCCACGCAGAGATCGTGGCCACGTCGCCCAAGTCGAGCTACACGCAGTACACGATCGAGCTCACCAACCCGATCACCAACTCGTGGCGTCGCGTGACCAAGCGGTACTCCGAGTGCTACCGCTTCCGCAAGTCGCTCATGCGCATGTACTACTCGATCCGCCGCGACGCCGAGATGGCGCCGCTCGCCGAGCTCCTCCAGCGCCTCTGCCTCACGCCGTTCCCAAAGCGGTACTTTGAATCGGACGACGCCTTTGTGCGCATGGAGCGAACGCAAGGCCTCACGCTCTTCTTCGACATGCTGTTTGCGCTCTGGAAGGACGGCCTCCGCCTCATCACACAGACCGAAGTCCACTGCATCCTCGCGAAATGGACGTTCATCGAGGCGATGCTGGAAGCGTTCCTGGACCAGAGCTTGCACCACAAGGCGCCGACCAACCTCGACGACGCGTGCGCGATTTGCCTCGGCGACTTTGAAGACACGGTGTTCCAGCTGCGCTGCGGCCACTGCTTCCACCGCGACTGCGCCCTGCATTGGCTCGTCGAACACGCGACGTGTCCGCTCTGCCGCCAGACGTGCAACGCCGGCGACGTCCTTAGCGTGTCGGCCATGCAGCCGCTCCTCCGCACCACGTCGACGATCGCCGCGCCCGCTGCTCGGCACCACATGCCGTCCCGCGCGGTCTCGTGCATAGCGTTCTAGGATATATCGCAACATCCATATTTACTATCTCTTCCGTCCATTCCTCTTCTTGACTGCTGCTTGTCCTCGCGACTTACCTTGCAAGAGTACCTAGTACTTTCGAGCCTCTTCCTCTGCCAGTCTTGCTACATTGCACTTGCTACCGTACTGGCGATCTTTGAGCGTTTGACAAGCGTTCCAAAGTCCACCCGTTATAACACCTAGCGTCATCGGGCTACTCGCGGCAGCCATGTTGACTCGGATGGCTGCGCATACACGAGCACTGGACAATGCACAGTACTCGACCGTCCACCATCGACGCTGCACTCGCGACGCCAGGCGTGGGACATACTAGTATCCGTGCGCTATCTTTGCACCGTTCGTTATAACATATTCTAACACTGTGCAGCAGCGATCCGAAAACAACAGATGCTTATTTCGGCACAACAAGGATGACACCTTGTTTTAGGACAAGACTAGGACCATTTCCCCTTTGCCTCGCTGACCGCAGACCGCCAGCATGCTCGAGCTCAGCTATGAGATGACGCTCCTCGTGACCTTCCTCGTGGGCATGCACGTCCTCGCGCTCGTACGCTCCATGGCCGCTTCCTCCATCCTCCACCTCATGCTTCTCCTGCATGTAGGTCTTCTGGGCCTCGAGCGCGATCGCCGAGGGCAACGCGCGCAAGCGCCAGCTCGACGACAAGAAGCTCCGCTAGACACCATCTTCTCATGGATTCCTCTTCGTTGTCATCATCATATACACATGCAATGTCCATGCGACTCTTCTCTAGTCCTTGAAGAAGATGCGCGCGCCGTTGAGCGACCAGTTGAGAAGATCAAACTCGCGGCGATGGAGCTCAATGCGCTTGGCCGTGAGCTGGAGCGTGTGGACCTCCTCTTCGTCGTCAATGAGCTCGGCCGTCGTCTCCTTCTTGTTCTTGGCGGCCGCCTCCGTCTTGCGCGCGTCGCGCTCGGCCTGCTTGGCGTTGTACGACGCTTCGTCCGCCTCGTACTTGCGCTCGACCTCTTCAAACCAGTGGAGCGCGTCAAAGGCCTACCCATGAGCATCATAGCACCGCGTCCATGCACATGAGAGCATGCTGCTGTCTACCTCGCCTTGGTTGAGGACCGCGAGAAAGTACGCGATCCCGATCGCAAAGCCGTCGTCGGTGAAGTACGACTCGCGCCGGCGCGTGTTCTTGTACATGAGGTCCTTGGCCTGCACCGACGTCTCGATGAAGTTGATGGTGAGCGCCGGAATGATCTGGTAGAAGAGCGCGAGGTGCTTTTGCTCGTCGGGCGATATCGCCTCCTGGAAGACTTGGACGAGCACCTTGAAGTAGTTGTTGTCCTCGCTGAAGTTCTTCGAGAGGTTGAAGAGCGCCGTGTCGAGGTTCGAAGCGGCGACCACCGTCTCGCTCGATAGCATCGGGTCCTGGACAACGGGCGCAAACTCAAAGTTGCGCTGGTTGAGGTCCGGCACAAACTTGATCGCGTTGCTGAAGACCACACCCCTGCCGTTAGACATTCCTCAAGATGATGATGGACGATACCTGCAGTAGTTCATGCCCGCCGAGCGCACCATGCGCACGTACCCGAGCGCGTTGCCAATCTCGGTGATGAGGATGCGGTACTGGTCAAGGAAGGTACGACCCGCGTCCGAGACGCCGAGCTGGCGAATCTCTACGCAAAAATACACAAAATATGCGAAACATCCGCGCCAAAGGTGCAAACCCTTGTTGAACTCGAACGCGCGCGAGTACGGGTACTTGTGGTCGACGTCCGCGTCGTCCTTGTGGCTCTTGTACCAGCGCAGCTCGCGCTTGAGGAAGCTCTTGATGTAGTCGTCAAAGAGGAACTGCGAGAAAATGTCCATCTTCTTGCTCAGAAACTGGTACGTAAAGTTGACGGTCGTGTTCATGATGCCCATGCCGTGCGTCCGGATCGACGACGCAATGCTGTGGATCGAAATCCCGTTCAGGTGGCGCGACCCCTTGTCCGAACGGCGCTCGAGAAAGAACTGCTGGTTCAAATTGTAGTTGTACCTAGTTCCACATTAGAATTGCCAGATTCTAAAAGCACGAGTTATGTACCGCGCCACAAAGATGTGGATGTTGCGCATGATCTGGAGAATGTCCAGACCTTGGTCCAAAGACCCCATCGGAAGATGGTTCTCGGCCAGCTGGAGACCGTACTTGTCGTTGGCGAGCTGCCGCATTTCGCCATACCTAACCCCAACAATTGTCGCAAAAGTTGGAAAATAGTGTAAAAAACAAACGTCTTCCAGTCGTGGAGCGCGACGGTCGTGAGATTGTAGAACGTCGACTCGAGGTAGTGCGTCACACGGTCGCGCAAATCGAGCTCTTTGCCCCAGAGACGCAGCGGGCGCAAGTCCATAAAGTAATGGAGCACCTAGTCCATGGCGACAATTGATACCAACTTGATACCAAACCCACTTTAAAAACATACCTTGAAGTCGGTGTGCGTGAGCGGGTTTGGTGCTTGCATGTGGTCCAGATGCACCGAGTGAATATGCAGGCGGAGGTCGTTCTCAATGTCCATGCAGAGTGGCGCGACCAGCTCTTCTTCGACGACGCCCTCGATAAACTTGGCGTACGCGGCCACGTACCCCGCCGTGTCGACTTCGTGTTGCGCGCCTTGGAGCGACTTCATCGCGTCCAGAAACCCACCAACCTACAAAGTATCAATCTATCAATATACACAACTCGTCGATCGAACAGGACGTACGACGTATTGGAGGCGCGACGCTTGCTCGGGCATCGAGTAAATGTCTTGGACAAAGAGATGCAAGAGCTCGCGGCTCCAGTACAAGAACGAGCAGTCGCACGCAACGCGGATCTTGCGCTGAAAGTCGCTCAGCACGTGCATCTTCCAGAGGTGCTTGAGCGCTTCGATCGGGTTGACAGCGGGCGTCGCCGGCTTTTTCGCATCGCTGCCGGTCTCGACCACGTCGGGAATGAGCGCAATCTGCAGCGCCAGCGACAAGACCTATACATCCAAGCATAAGCCTCGGATTCAACTTGAAAGTAAAAGACCGTCAAGCGGGTGTACGAGAAGGATTCGCCTAATTGTACAGTTGAGCCATCGAATTACCAAACAATGGCAGTGGTTACCCGAGTGCAAGAGCTCCTCGACGACCGAGACGGCCGCGAGCACGTCGAGCTTGGTGTCGTCAAAGCGCTTGCTCGCTTCGAGCCGCGCCTTGATGGGCCGGAAGAAGAGCGTGAGCGCATGCGCCACTTGACTAGACCACAGCACTAAGTCCACGTCGTACAAGACAATTGTGTTGTTGTACCGCAGAACCAGCGCGGCGCTTTCGGCCAAAATCGGGTTCTTGCGCGCCATCATAAACTCGATCGCTTTCGTCATCTCGATACATTGATACAACGGGCGCACAATGCGCTTCGGCATCGGAATCTTGAGCAGCAAGTGCAGTTGCACGAGTGTCTGCATCATGGTCTGCACGCGCCGCGCGAGAATGAGACCCTTGACGATGAGGTTGCCGCGAATCCTAGTCCAAAAATATCAATATATCAACCCGCGATACACAAAAGACACTGTACCCGAGAACGCGTGCCGTGTCCCCCGAGCCGCGGGTTGTCCACTGAAAGAACGACTCGAAACGGACGAGCCACGCGCGGACTTCCATCTGCACGAAATGTACATCGTCCGCAAACGTCTCGTCCATACGCAGTAGGTACTGCTTGCGCGCGTCGAGCACGTCGATGGCGGGGCCGTTCTTGGCTTGAAGCGGTGCGTACTTGAGAAGAAACTCGGGGAGGCACCAGTTGAGGCGCCCACAGAGCACGACGATCGGCGCCTTGAGCTGGCAGCTCCAAAGCTTCTCGTAGAGCGCTGCGTCCGGAAGCACATTCGGCGGCATGAGCTTGCGAAACATCACGTACAAGCCCGTGGTACCCACGAGCTGCGTGCGCTCGTACGTCTCCGCCGGCGTGCCGAGCGCCGCCTCGATCGACTGGATGCGCGTGCTGAGGCAGTGGAAAAACTCGTCGAGGAAGACGCGGTTGTTGCGCACGTCGATCGTCTTGGCCTGCGCAGCGTCGTCGTCCTCGTCCTCCTCGTCCTCCTCGTCTTCGCTGTCTTCAAACGACAGGAGCGTCTCAAAGTCCTGCTCAATGCACGTCTGGAAGCACTTGGCCCCTACGTCGACATGAGTACGCGCAACAAATGATGAAAATTGTGGAAAACCAGGAAAAACCAGGAAAACCATGAAAAAATAGTGCAAAAAGCACGAAAAATGGAGGAAAATAGAGGCGATACCGTACCCATAAAGGTCTGATCGAGGTTGACGAGGAGCTGCTCGAACGACTTGACCTTCTCGAGCGTCACGTTGTAGCGCGCGGGGTCGGCGCGCACGTACTGCATCATGCGCTTGTACTTGTCCCAGGACGTGACAATGTTGGGGTTGTCGAGGACAATCATATCGAGCGTCATGAGAATCTAAATAAAATAAAATAAAATATCGGCGGGAGCGAGGATCGAAGGCAGTACCTCGAGGAGGTTGGCGAACGCGTCGTAGACCGACGTCAAATGCACGTGCTTGAACGTCGACTTCCATAGCTTTTGGTAGCTCTGGTACAGCGACGCGAGCTGGTGCACGAGGTTGATCGCGATCAAGCTGCAGCGATCGACAAAGTTGGAGATATCCTGGCAACGATTGTGAGATGCCGAGGATCAAGGTGGTTGCTACGGACTTGAAAGAAGGGCAGCATGCGACCGATGTGCACTTCGTCCTCGCCGGGCTTGACAGCTGCGTTGTCGCCATGCTTGGCTTGCCCAAACATGATGAGCGCCGGGTAAAAGTTGTCTTCGACCGTGACCTTGAGCTCCGAGATCTCGTCGCAGAGCACCGCAAAGACCGTGAGCACCTGCAGCCATGATGGTCATGAGGCGGTTCGAGAAGCAAGGACGATACCTTGTTGAAGAGCTCGTTGTCGGTGCGGATGAGGTCCTGGACGTCGACGCGCTCGGCCGGGTGCAAGTGCATTTGGATCGGGTCCGCCTACGTCAACATGCGCATGAGGCCTACGTGGAAGCGTGCTGCGAGTGCATACCCAGTAGCCCCACACTTCCGACATGGCGGCCGACAAGGCGTCTTCAATCTCCTTGAGCTTGGACTAGGACGGGCCATGTGAGTGGTGGAGTTGCACCCGGAACATGATGCTACCGTGTGCTCGTTGACAATGTCGAGGGACTTTTGCAGCTGCTCGCGGATCGGCTGGTCGTGCACGTCAAAGTCCGCGAACGCCGAGACGAACTGGTAGTCCTCTTCGTCGATCGCGTCCAACTCGGCTTTTGGGAGGTCCTTGTTGGCCGCAGTACGGAGGCTCTTGGTGCTCACGCGGCTCGACGTGCTGCGCACCGAGGCCTTCGAGTCAGAGCGGTCGCGGTTGCTCATCATGGACGCGCGCGAGTCGAAGCGGTCGAGGCGCGTCGAGTCGGCCCACGAGACCCGCGAGTCGAAGCGCGGGCGGTCGTGCTGGCGGTGGCTGGCCTCGGAGCCCGCGCCGTCGCTATGGTCATCGTCGTCGCTGCGGCGCGAGGCTGAGGCCGAGGCCTTTCGGGCGGGGGCCGGCGCGTCGGCTCCCTCGGCTGCTGCGTCTCCCTTCGCCTTCTTGGCCATCTCGGTCGTCGGTAACACACGGAAGATTTTATGCTGACGCGAGGTCCCCGGATACGCAATTTGTATTCGGACGCTACGTGATTGGTCAATATCACCATCTTTTCCGCCAATCGGAACGAGGGCAAGATCGCCGACAGCAAGGTTGATCTTGGGACCGACGACAAAATTCTACATTGCTAAACTAGACAAATAGTGTATACGATAGACACGGTGACGTTGTGAATGTTTAATTACAAAGACTCTTGCGACCGATAAAACACGGTATGACGACGTGTGACACAGACACTGCTCTGCTGGTGTGGGACTCTGTCCTGTCCTTCGCACACATCGATCCTTGGTGAGGCGTGGCAGGGTGAGTAGACCATACATTATTGTCTGTACTAAGGTCGACGACGAGATCATTTACTCCAATATGAGTACACACCGTGCGCGCCAACCTTGTCGACGATCAGACCTAGCCCTAAGCAGTGTCCAAAACCCATCTACATCTCGAGTACCGGTACAAAGGAGACTAGTATTGAGACCCCATAATGCTATTGCGAAATCGACGCGACCCAACTCGAAATATACGACGAATCACGTGAATTTTCGACAATTCTCTTTGGACAAGGAAAAATATCGTATTTCCCGGATTTTCTATTCCATTGTCAACATTTGCTCAATCGCATCAACAAGGGGCGCAAGCTGGTGGAGGAGAACATCGGCCATCATCACCTTGGGCACGCTCTCAAACGGGTTGTCGGCTGGGAGCGTCATGGGAATTTCACCGAGGAGACACATGCGGCGGCGGCAGCTCGTGTCGCTCGTCGCTTCGGCCACGTATCTACTCGTAGACATTAGTCCTAATTGTCCATGAAAGATAGACAATAATGTGTACATGCACGTTTGATTGCCAATCAAAAGACCCGGCGCGATCGGGTACCGCGCGTCGGCCAAAATCGATTTCAGTACAATCACGACGCGGTGCGGTTCCGTGTAGCGCTTCAAGGCCGAGAGCCGCTGAAGATAAGGGACGCCGCCCGCCACGGCCGTCAAGCACGTGTCTCTGCAGTACGCAGTGTCGGGGCCAAACGACTCGAGCACCTAGCTCAGAGGTCGAGAATGGCGCTGCAGCAGAATGCTACCTCGTGGACTTTGCAGGGAAACGCCATGTCGCCTTCCTTGGCCCAGAGGTTCCAGTACTTTTCGGCCGACGCGACGAACGAGCAGTTCATGCTAGCGACGCTCTGCGTCTCCAGTGCGAGATGGTCGTCCTTTGGCTGCAGCTGGATCGTCCGGTGGCCGTCCACGGCGTCGTAGAGTCGCTTCCGGAGGAAGATGGCGTCGACGTCGGCGTACGCAGCATCCACGAGGCTGTGGAACGCGGCTGCTCGCGCTACGGGCTCGGTCGGCAGCTGTTGGAATTTCCATTCGGCTACGTCCAAGGTCGGGAATGCCTAGGATACCATGAGCTTCGAATGGACAAGATGGGAAGAGACCGCGAGCTGTGGGCGCTTGCACAGGAGCTTGTCGAGCGCTTTGGCAACGATGAGCTGGTCCTCGAGCGCCCGCTTGAGCCGTGCGTTCTCCAAGTGTGCTTGATACGTGTACGAACGCTGGGCAATCGACATGGCCTCCCACTGCGACGTGTGCTGCGACGTGTCGGCGTCGCGGAGCAGCGCCAGGTGCGCCGTGAGCTCGGCGACTTGGTGCTGGAGGTACTCGCGCTCGGTCTTTTGTCGCTTGCGGTACTTGCGCTGGCGCTCCATCTTCATGGCGGACGCGGCCCGGGCCCTGTCGTCGGCTGCATCGGGCGGCGAGGACCCGGCCTGGCTGTCGCTTGGCGGCGAGGA